CCGGTGTTACGAAATGAGGCACCCATCACGATGGTGTGATAATCATATTTTCTGTAGTAATTGTAGATTCTGGTTACGGATTGAACGCCGGGATCTTCGGTTGCAGTATAGGTCTTTCCGGTACTCTTCTTGTACCAATCGAGGATGCGACCGACAAACGGTGAAATTAGTGTTACACCCGCTTCGGCACATGCTACGGCCTATAAAGAATCAAGATGTTAATTGGTGCCATTCGTGATTTGGTTGTTATTTTGTTGGTAAAAATGGTGGTCAATTCTTTCGATCAGAATCACCTGAGGAAATGAGAAAAGCAATGTCAAATTGCAATGAATGCCTTCTTTCTCAAGCCTTTCGGCCGCACGGATTCCCTCCCATGTTGATGCGATCTTTATCAACACACGTTCAGAATTGATTCCGATCTCTTTGTACAGACCGATCAATCTTTTCGCCTTGGCGATGGTACCTTCGGTGTCGAAGGAGAGTCGGGCATCAACTTCGGTGGAAACACGTCCGGGAATAATTTTTAGAATTTCTGCACCAAAGTTGATCAACTAGGCAAAGGAGATGAAAAATGTTGAATCGAAAACATTTCCTTAAAGCACAATTTATTATTCATATTCTTATTATTATTTTCGCGGTTATCATGTACCAATTTATCGGTAGCCCATTCGACCTTTTCTTCGACGGATCTATAATAACGAAGATACCGTTGACATGGATATTACATATCGTCATCATGAAATCTCTGGATGGAAACTTACCCTTCTTTACCCTTTGCATATTCGACAGCTTCGTCTATCAACCTGGAATATTGGGGTTTTTGAGTAGCAGCCAAAATCAAAGACGGGTTTGTGGTAGCATCTTGTGGTTTGTATTCGGCGATTGCTGTATTATAAGTGGCAATCAATTCATTAAGGAAACTTTTCGAGGTAAGTCGGAGGGCATTCAATTTCACAAATGTATTTACATACAGTCAAAATCACCAGTGTCGGCGACAATGGTAGTGAATTGTTTGAGTTGATCGAGAACTGAGACCAT